GCAACAATATGAAGATAAAGGTTAGTGCGAATATTCGAGCTTTAGAGGACGTCAGAGAGCAAGTACGTCTGCACCATTATGACCGATTGTTAACCATTTCTCAGTCATCGATTCTGATCGTCTTGAAGACACCAGCCAGGTAGACTGCGCCTCCCCACACGGCTCGGATCAAGAGTCAGGGACTTCACGGACTGGTGTCACGTCATGGTCTGGTCACCCTGAACTTTCTTCCTGTCTAATCTAACTTCGACTAGCGTGGTACATCGAGCCAGATGGCGACTCTACTTGCCTGTCTCGCCTAGTACCCTTCGCCTCACCTTAACATTGCTCACACGGTGATTCCACCATGCATAAGCAATGCTACGAAGACACTCGTGTTAAAAACCTGTAGTCTCTTCCCATGTTCTGCCTTCGGCGACCATGTCTCTTAGTTGTATAATAGGGCAGGACGGACTACAATGCACTCTACCCGACCGTCAGTAGGTATCTCGAGCGGTCGTCATACTCGACGCTAGTTGGCAAATACGAAGTGTGCCTTCTGTCAGTAACTAGCTCTTTCGGGCTGATGCAACTCCTTCAGTAAGCGAAGTGGTTGACACATTCCCCCACGTCACTCTCTATGATTAAACTGGAGTAGATACATACTAGTCCTGAAACAACATTTGACAGATGCGAAATGCATGCCAAACATACTTAGATTTCTGCTCACCGCGTTCAGAAGACGTTGCATTTAGTCAGTCTTCGTCTTGCCAGATAGCATCGTTTGCACACTCCAAGTCAACTGGATGATCTTCAGGGAGAAGATCGGTCTCTGGGAAGTCAGACATACTTAAGGTTGCTCATTACAGCATGGCTAAACAGAAGCAGTGACAACGAGCCTCCCTGGTGGACACGACTGCTCGGCGTCAATTCGGGTCAACAAATAACGCAGTTGTTGGCTACCATCGTACCGGTGTTCCAAAACATATTGAAGAGTGGAGATGCAATCAATACATTATCGTTAAATCCTAAAACCTGCATTGTTTCTCTGAGTTTGCTTTCTTCGAACCTCAGTTGGGTGTTGTGTAACGGTGAACTGTAGGATCTTAAACATCACGTTAGTCGAACTGATTCCCCTATGGTTGTCTCAAGGAGACTTCTCCCCCCTCTTATAGACTGCGATGATCAGTGAAGTAGACCAATCTGACTACACTACCTATGATTTTTTTTAACACTACTTAGCACTTTTGTTACTCTTTCATTAATTTCCTACCTCGATCAGTGGAAGTTTCGAGTGGTAAAGCTTCAGGTCCGGCTGCTTTGCATGATTTTAAGTCGTATGTAACCTTCTCAACTTCAAGGCTAGTTGGAGAACCTATATTTACGTCTCATTTAAGTCCAAAATGGTTGTTGGGGAACTGAAGCTCTGGTGTGTCCCAATTGACTACTCAACGTTCTTGCCGATTGTCCTAAGAGGTTATCAGCTTCTCATCGTTTTCTTTTTACCGGTATCCCTTATAAGCATAAATGGTTGCGAGATGATAGACAGCACTGATTCCTTCTCCATCTCTCTCGCTCTCCCTACCCACGACTGCCTGTGATCATCACAAAGACTTTGACAGATACCACTCGGTGTACATAGCTCACCATAGGCTGTAACACACTCATAGGTGTTCCAGTAGAGATGATGTACTCACTCGACTCCCCTTACAGTGAGAGGTATTACCTTAAGACCTTTCAATTAGCGGTGTCGATAAATACCGCTATTGTGGGGCGTTGGTTAGCGTGGCTCTATGTCCCAGAACCTAGCGGAGTGTGAAAATCTGGTTGATACGCCTAAGGCAAGGTCTGATGTCTGCCTGGTTTTTGTGTTTGCTGTGTCCTGAGCTTCACTCAGACGTTTAATAATAGCAGAACCGAAAATCTTGGAGACTATATTCGTCAGGTGGTTATCATAGAAAGACATTCCGCCTTGAAGACTATAACAGTCAGTGATTGAGATCAGTCAGAGGGAGATCGTGTCTGACTTCTGCATACTAGTTAACACTTCAGTTAACCCGACTAAAAACCCTCTACCACTCTCGTTAAATACCTCTGAGACTAGTCGTCTGGTCATTCTGCTCTTCCTCGTTTCAGGTAACCTACAGCTTTCTTGACTTTAACAAGTGTTTGGGGTCGTATCTCGGTGTTCATTTCAGGCTACGACTGGATAGCAGGCAACAGAATAGTAGTTGGTCAGTCGAACTGTCCCTCAAAGCGTTCTGTTCATCATTCCATTTGCTTCCTCATGGAAGTGAATCGCGGACCCATGCTTCCCCTCGTCGTCTCACTAACCATTTACCTTATTGCTCCAGTTTCTCTAATAAGTATAAATAACAACTGTTACCTATCGCCGCTGCCTTTTCCATCTTTTCGGCCTTCACTGCCACCGCTGTTCGCGTTGGGGCTGCATTTGCTCCTCAGTGTACGCAGAGGTTGCAGGTATGCGTATGCTAAGTTAGAGTTTAAAGAAGTTGTAAGGGGTTTAATATTGGTTTCAGGAACTGAAGGCAAGGAAGATGACAAAGGTAGATTAGTGGGTAATTACGTTTCGCATACTGATGGGAGCGTTAGGGCAGTTGGTGTTTACTGGCTTCTTGCACTGTAGAAAGCTGTTCTTGAGCTACCTGAAAACGATGGGTTAATGCGTATCCGTAGAGCCCATGGGACATTATAAGGTGTTTCAGAAGTGTGAGACTACCTTTTATTTTTTCATATCCAATTATGAATCTATATCGCCGGCAGCGGTGTTCAGCGGAGCAGAAGAGTTTGGTTTTTCATGCCGGTCGTCCGTGGGAAATACTTTATTACTATCATACCCCGTCCAGACAGTAGTACGACTTCACCCTCGCACCCCCCACCACAGAGTAGCAATTTACTCCATAACGGTAACCGCCTTTCATCTTACCTATGTCTAACTAAGCTTTGTTGTATGGTAAGATGTCGACGGAACAAGGGCTTATTGGGGTCTTTGTAATAAAAAGTCTGACCACCACACCAAGGTAGTTGCTATTCGTCGAGTTTCATTGGAGTGGATAGCATTTTACGCTTATAGTCGCATTCGTTTATGACAACCAGTCCTGATCCGTTATCAGATTTGAGAATGATTATGTCAGATCTACTGGGATAATTTAACTTGGCCAGTAAATTTACGACCAGACTTATTAAAATGTGTTACACAAGTACGTTGCATTATTTAGATAAACTTCGTCTTCTAACTATACTATTTAAGTCTACATTGCATCCGTCCCCTTATTATTCCTCTTGTTCGTGTGATCTCATCAATATAGGACCAAGCATTATTGCAAAGTGGTTCAAGTTGCCCCACCTCATATCGGCAAATCAAGCGAGAATGCACCGAAATGAATGAAAGATGAAATACAGAAGAATCTATTTAGGTAGGAGAAAGTAGTAAAAAGAGATGAAGAAAGAATCTTAAAAAATGAATGCAACATAACCATTACGATAGGAATGGTGTGTGGATACATCTGCGTCACTGAGATCGATTCTGAACCATGTCACCTGGAGTCTCCCATCTCAGGTTTCGTTGTTTCGTGGACGTCACCTGGAAATCTATATTTCTCTACACAGCCAAAAGCAACGGTCAAAGACTTCATGCGCTGATTCCATGTTCTAGTCTGGCCACCTGTAACCTTTTGTCAGCCAAAGCCTACTTCAGCTAATATTGTGCAATGGGGCAGACGGTTACTAGACAAACATGCGTGACACATGTCCCAGCCGCCTCAGTCGATGTACATTCAAGAACTCATCAACTGTCTTTCCTTTTCTGGTCAAAACTCTGCACCTGACTTCTACGTTACTGACGTGGTGACACCGTGACATATGGCTTACGTTTAAAAGGCAACGGTGTCCAAACACCTGAAGCTTTCTCATATCCTCTAGCTTTAATGAACATGTTTCACAACCAAATAATAGCGCACAGTAAACTGTGGTGCCATACACTCAACCGTCAATGGAAAATCGAATACCACGGTGGCATTGCAAGTGGCATGAGGAGACGGAAGTGATGCTAGCCTTTTGTATCAGTGGCGAGATCATGTCGGTCACTGATCCACCAAGGCTGATTCGACTTCCCGGAAAGTAAAGTGGTCAAAGCACTCAAGAGCTTCACTCTCTGTTGTTATCCGTGGAACCAGTGAAGACCAGTCCTGGGGCAACAATTTGCATTTGGATGGCGAGAAACATCTCCCAAACATTCTCAAATTCCTACTCAAGGTATCAAGAGAACCCTGAATCTTGTCAGTGTCTTCACCCAATAGGACTATATCGTGTGCGTATTTCAGATCAAGTAAGGAATCTCCTGTGGTTAGATCAATTTCTGTGGAGTTAGAAAACGAGACGAAGACCTTCAAAAATAAATTTGTTATAAAGTTTAATAAGAGTGGGAAGGAATGGTCGTCCTTGTGGAACACCACTCACTTGTACGCCATTATAGACTATAACACATCCACGGGCGTTCGATTATATTGCTTTCAACAGAGTGGTGTAAGGTGTTACAACTTGAACCATCATACATTAATGCTAGGTTTCATGGTAATAATCGCTGACTGGTAAATAAATGTAAACTTTGAGGGTTATTTGAATTCCAGTGTATTTGGTATACCAAATTTATTCACTAGTAGGAGTAGTCTAGAGATAAATGTTGAAACGGAATTGGGATCTGCAAAGGTGAATCACAAATATATCTTAGAATCAGCAATATATAACAATGACGGGAATTTACTATCTTTTGTTTATAAATAAAGGAACTCTAGTTGCTGTACTTCCGTTCAAGTGTTAGTAATCAGTGATTTTACAGGTGTTTCACATATAGATTTGCGACAGATCTGATTCAAACAAAGATTTTAGTACTTGGGCCGTTGGTTGTCAAAACCATGTGCATGTTTCATAGTATTTGTGTTTGAACTACTTCTTATAGCTATCATTGGAACTGGAATTAAACTTAACTTTTTGTGTTTAGCATGTCACAAATGCGTTCATCAGCCTCTTCAGTACCTTCTGATCTTCGAGTTGATTTAAGTGAAATAGTAGAAGACCTACTAGCATTTCACTACGACGATATAAGTTCCTCATTGCCAGAAAACGCTGGTTTTCCCAATTCAACCAGTTTAGCAAATTCACTGACGTCTGGCGGATCAAATAGTGGTGATCTGGTTCGTCGAATTAGCCGCATGCGTTCGAACATACAACGGGCCCAAGAAGCAGCACGCAAGCTCAGTACTTGTGATCTGGATGTTCCTGCCCAAGAGAAACTACTTTTAGCTGTTGCAAACTCCTGTGTAACGAAGCGTCATTTAGTATCCTTGCTGAAAACAGAACTGGATAAGCTATCTGCCAAGGATTCTGATTGTTATTTTGAGTAATCTTTTTCGCATTTGTTCACTTCTACTGTGTATACTCTCTTATCCAAGTGTCAGTTGAATACATTCTTTCTGTAATGTTTGAAACTTATGGGTTGGACAGAATATTACATCGTCTGATTGTTCATCATTGTACTGTGTTGCACTTTAAAATTCTGTGGTAGTTTTGTTAGTCTTCAACGAGGTTGACGTGTAAGCTTTAGACGAACTAATCAACTTGAAACTTTGCACAGAAGTTTATCAATTCGAATAGCAGCACTTCACAGCAAATAAACACGAAATCAAAGTAGAAACATACAAAGAATTGCCGTTTTTCAAGTTGTGACACGTCACAGTAGCATGCAAACAAGTTAGTAGGAAAAAATATCAAAGTAAAAAAGGTGTAACCTTGAAAATCAAGTGATGGAAAATGCACAAGCCTTAGTAGATGCCAAAGAGTTAATACATCTGTGGCCAGTTCTCAGCCATTTTAACAAGGGTCTGCAACCACTAGTTCCATTCATTTCGAAGACTCTAATCAAACAATCTACAGAGCTCTGGATGGTTCAAACCAACGGTAAGAGATTTCATAAACTGGTGCTGCCCTAAACCTTCTTCTCACTTAATTCAACTTCGCTTGATATTGCACGTCGGTGCAGACGGTGGCTTTTATGCACATCACATGTTTATGCCAGCTAAGCTGATGAAACTTAGCAAGTTTATGGAGTGGAGCTGTCGTTCATTGCTTTAAACAGTTGACTTAAAATCATTGGGTTGCGGCTTCGAACCCCGCTGCACTTTCCGAGGTTCAGCCAGCCAAACAGTATCACTAGCCCTAAAACCACCACCATATCAGAAATGTCTGGTGGATAGTGGTTAGACAAAAAACAGTTACGGTTATAGTTTAAATTGCTACTCTATGATAGGGGTACGAGGATGGAGTCGTACCGCTGACTGGACAGGGGTCCAATAGCAGTAGGCTGTTCCCTGCGGATGATCAGTACCACGTTGATGCTACTTTGCCTATGGGACCGGAGGGGCAACCGGTGTCGGCGTTATGGGTTCACAGTCCGATTTGCTAAACAAGAACTAAACTACCAATCTCCCAGAAAGGTTGTATATCACAGACCTCAAGCAGATGTCTCTTGAACTCTGGGGAGACACACTAGCCCTTCTTTTTTAGGTAACTAAAAACACTCAGCTTTCCGCGATGTCAAGAACCGGGAGGTGCTAATCGCTCTCACAACTCTGTCGACATGCATCTGCTATTCATTCTCATGGGAAAGCAAATGGAACGATGAACAGAACGCTTTGAGGGACAGTTCGATTGACCAACTACTATTCCGTTGCCTGCTATCCAGTTGAAGCCTGAAAGGAACACCGAGATAGGATCCCAAACACTTGTTAAAGTTGAGAAAGCTGTAGGTTACCTGAAACGAGGAAGATCACCACAACCACTTCCTACTGTTTCTGACTGATTTTTCTTCCTTCATCTATCATCTTCCTACTTTGTTACTTGATGTGCTGATTTGTAGTGTTGCAATTTGAACCAGTACGCAGTAATTCTTGGTTATGTGTTGATATTGATGGTGATGATGCTAACTCGTCTGAAAGATGTATTACCTTTAAATATGTTAGAACATCCGAGTAGGTTGTAAAAACGTCATGATGCCTGCTCCAAGAAGTAAAACCAATCTTGAAAGTCTTACACTGTTGTTCTGGTTCATACCAAACGGAATTATTATACTTGGTAATGATTGAAGGTGAGATGAAAATCTGAACCGCAGCCGGATTCAAACCACCCGGTCATCCCTGGTTCGAATCCGACCGCGGTCCTGATTTTCATCCCACCTTCAGTCGTCACCCAGTATAAACACTAGTCTGCCAAACTACGGCTATCTCAGATAGTCAAATGATAATGGGAATTTTTATAGTTTGGATGGATTCACTTTTATCTGCCTTGAAGTTTTCGTATCGGTTAAATATAGAGTAATGCTTCAGGACTGGTATTAACCATCGTCTGCTCCAAGAAAAAGAAGTGAAATGCGTAGCTGGAGCAGCGCGAGATCGGATGCAAGTGGATTTTTTGAATGACAGGACTTCTACGTCGACTTCTTGTCCGTCTGCTTATTATCTGACAGTCACGCAATCTAACAACCTTCAGGCAAAATGCGCAGCCTATTTCCTAGTAAAACGAGCTTGCTGCGCCATTTGAACTGCATTGTTATAACTCTTATTACTACCAGTGATCTGCATACAGTTTCGGTAGCTTGGCAATAGTATACGACCGTAGTACTAGGCTTAGTAATAGAAAACAACCTGTCTGCTTGATCATATGAGGGTGGGTGGCAGGAGGTTTGAGTATGCGACACAATAATTGAAAGTTGGTTTTATATCGCACTGAGATAAGGCTTCAAAATTAGTACAGTTTGGAAAGGAATGAAGCAATTTGAATAAGGTGTAACGGAGTATGGGAATGACCGTTTGTTGATCAGTGAAATCTCATAAGCCTGGAAGTACGATCATATGTCACTTGGAGAATAAATTTTTATGTGTTTTTAAAAGATGTTTATAATCATCAAATGACTTTTTACAAATAATGTGATGAGATGGAAATAATTTACCTGAGGATTTTGGCATCTGTTTTATGAATTTCTTATGAAGGAAAATGAAACAGTTGTTTACTATATCGGCCACAGTTTCACACTGCGATATTCACATTAGATCATCATGCACTAATTTTACATGTACATCTTTTCTTCAACGACAAGAAAAACTAGGGAACATTTTTCTTGTTTGCTTAGGATTCCATATATTGGCGAATGTATCGAAAGGACTAACTATTTGCCAGATGGGATAACCGAACTCTTTGTGAAGCTGTTTCTCATCAATCCAGACTTGGAGTTTTAACTACTGGGTCATGGGTTCATACTTCGCTTCGTTTGCCTCAGTCTGAGCAGCCAGGTAATATCATTCGTTCTCGCGCAATGGGCGTGGTACATAGTAGGTAGACCTTCTGTACGAATGCCCACTTGGTTGCTGAGTACAGTTCGCATTTTCTCGTCGAACTTGATACTTTAGATCATCCGTTGACATTATTGACACCCGGAGATTGTATAATGGTTTCTACAAAGCTCAAGGGAATCTGTTGCTGATCAACTGGTTATGTGTATAAACTATAATTCAAGTCAGTGATGAATAAAAAAAGTCGCTAATTAACAAAATTATCTGATAATATTGTAAAGCACATGTAGGAAAGTTGGACATAAATCAAGGAAAATAGGCAGTTAAGAAACCAGTCAGTAAGTTGGCATCAACAGTTTCAAGGCTGCTGTTCTATTCTCTGTGACAAGTCATCCCGTATATTTCTATAAAAGACAAACAGTATAAGGCTAAAGTAGAGAAGAAGAGTATGGTTCTTAAGAGAATTAGAGAGATGAAACTTCCAAGATTGTCATTAATATTTAAACTGTTTTGTTAGTCATCCAGGGGTAAAACCGTAAGATTTCAGCTCTAGGCGGTTAAATATCTGTTCGTTTGTTTTTAACAAATAAGCAAAACAACAGTTCTATGAAAACAGATTGGTTTTCACTGCGCTTTGCTATTTGTTCATGAACGCTTTATCACTGAACTTAGTGACGCCATCAGCGCTGTCTTATTTTTGAGCTACAATTTTTTATTATGAGTATTTAGTAATTCATAGTTCTGCATTTATTAGGTAGCGGCTGTACTTCAACTGTTTCAATAGGAACACTGGTAAACTTTGGGAAAATAAATTAACCATCTGAATACTTTGATATCTGTTTATAAAATGTGTAATCGAGATATCAACGTTTTATGCCTCATTGACTCAGGGTGTTTCAAAAACATGTCTTTCCATATTTCTTTATTCACGTAAGTTTTGCCTAAGCAGTTTGTTAACTGTTAGGTAACATAAGGAAAACATCCATCATCATTTTCGATACTAGTAAGTTATGCTTGGTTATTCACCGTTGAAAACTTACACGTTTGAACATCAGGCGATGAATTATAACCACTATTTATGGACTGTTAATACTTCCTGCCTGTTCAGACCCCAACAGGTTCTCGGATTAACTATTCAACTCTCACATTACATTAGAAATTACATGCCTTCAAACGCGTTCCACTGCATGTACGAATTAGTTATACGGTGATTCCACTCGATACTACTAATCGTATGAAGACAACAGTGATCGAACACAGGGTCACCAGACATCCTCATTTCAGAAAAGAGAGATCCCATAGGCTTGGAACGAAAATTTCCACATCAGCACCTAGGCTTTGACAACCAGGTTAGCGTCAAAACGACATCAAATGTCCTAAGGTTGGTTTTTGATATACGATAAATAATTATCGTCAACCACACCTCTGTCACTAGTCACATAACCATTCAGCTGTACAAACTTTTCGGCTACCAGTGGCTCATCTCCAAAGGTAACTGTAGAAACAGGCCCCCGTAAATCTTGAGAGTAGTTTGCACTTTATCGGTATAGAGCACCTATTATACTAATGGATGCTGATCGCGGTTGATTTGAGTATGCTTTCGTACAGTAAAGTGATACCATCTATATACTCAAAGTTGAAAAGTTTTTCACCCATTGCCAGGTCTACACGACCACCACGCATCGCCTTCACAGCTATCTCGAGAATGTCGTCTATTGTAACGGTAAAGAGGAGTGGGAAAAATGAGTAGTTCTTCTTAGCCCCACTGTTGGTTTTGAACGATAGCGGAAGGTGGTTATATGGCCTCATTCTATTTGAGGTGCTTTTGTATAGGGTTGTCCGGTATTAATTAACATCTCTTTGATCTCTTCTCAAGTAGACCTACGGAGCACAGTTCTATTCAGTGAATCTAAGTTAACTCTAACAATATCTAGAAATGCCACAGCTGGTAACCTGCAGTACATATGACTATGTTCCAATATCTAAAGTAGCATGAAAATCCAACCAGTGACGTGAACGAGACTCAACCTGCTTCCCAAGAACCAACTTTTTGAACATTTTGAAAAGCCTGAGAAATTTGACAGCAGCCAGTATTTTAGACACAGTTGACTGCAGATTTATACTTCGATGACTGTCATATTCATCAAGTGGGCCGTTTTTGAAGATGAGTGCAACAATAGTCTTATTCAAGATGATAGGACACTTAATCTGTCCCACCTTGTCAAATGATGTATTTCGTTCCAGACTAGTGTCACCTCCATCCTTAAAAATAGTCTGGAGTAGGATACATGTGTTGAATATCTTAAAGTACTTGGAGTTCCTTCTGAATCTCCGCTTTGCAAAGTGTATCAGTTTGAACATGGAGGACAAGAAACTGAAGTACCTGAGTCCATTAGCCAGTTAGATTGCTTTTCAAGGTGTTCTTCCCAGTGTTGCGGAGGTTGTTACTTGGCCTCATATTGGCTTCACAAACAGTCCTACTAAAACCAGGTTTTTTTGCCACCTATAGTTGGGAGGACGTGGGATGTCTTCCGATAGTTACCAAGGTCATATGATACTCTCTTCTGGGTTTCACATTGTGATCAATGTTTCCCTCAGTAGGAAGCTTGAGTATTTCGACTTATTTGTTTCAAGTTGTTTCGGAAGAAATAATGCTGCTTAGGATAAATAATTTATCATAAAGTGTTTTAGTCGACTTGACACCTTCTTAGAAATCCTAAGTAGCTGTATGGAATTCAGTAAATCATTTTTTTATGAACTTGAATGTTCTACGGAGTATTCTTTACATTTAGTGTTATTAAGTAACAAAAATAATTGTCTCGTTAATATATTTTAATTAGAAAAATCTTTTAATTGTTTTAAATAGCTCACCAACTCTCATCTTGTGCGTACTAAAGCATAATGGAATCATCAAAAGACATGTTTTCTCTAGTTAATAAACAGATTCGTCTATATTGTATTGAAGATCGAGTTTTCACTGGATTCGTCTATACTGTTGATCCAAAGACGGGTAATTATGTGCTATACTCATGTGTTAATGAAAGATATCAGCCTATTGTTGTCCGTCGGGAAGCTGTTAAAAGTCTAGAAGTAAGTGAGGGAAAATTATCACGAAGTTTTCTGCTCTTGAATCATTGGTAGATGTTAGTGATTTGACAAGTCACGTGAGTACTTCTTTACATCCATTCTGTTCTTTTTAAAATATTTGTTCTGCATTAGTTACACCCAGTAAAAAGTCACAGACAACGATTGAACTGCCTAAAATAATTTTCCTAAAAAAAGCTTCATCATCATTAAGCGTCGATAACACGAGCTCTGAGCCATGTGATGTTAAATTCTGAGTTCCTAAACCGATGAGCCACAACACCACCTCTGGGTTATTAGTGGACTTCGTCTTACTACTGCCTTGTTTTGTCCTACAAACTGGTATGAAGAAACTTACAAACATACATGTCTACAGTGCGGTTCACATTTCCTGTATTTCAATAAAGAAATGTCTATTTTAGCACATAGACTCTTTTAGGGATGAGTCTGCTGTATAGACTATAGTGAATAGTTTGACTAATACATGAGTTTATCACTGGTGTATAACTAGTGGATCAGTTATGTACTAGGTGCTGATTAAAGCTTTTCATGCGAACAATCCACTTTTGCAACTAATCTAAGTTAAGAGATGTTAGTCAGCTGTTAGGACGTTTGTTTTGTACTGCTTACTAGAACGAAACAGATATTCAGTGCTCACAGGTTTTCAATGGTTCCCCAACCGATGTCAGTCCGTGATGAATACTACCTGAAAAATAAAATCAATGTTAGATTCGCTAACTGTTAGGATTCTCCTAATGAAAATATATTTCAATAGGAATCTGAACGATATACCAGTCCTTGCCTGTAGATAATTTTTTGAAAACACACAGTAGACGGTATTCATCAGCTGCTCCTTACAGCGTATCGTTATGTGGCTCATTGAATTCGATAGTGGACTTTTATCCAGGTGGTCACAGGTTCTAACCCTGTCCAACCAACCGAGGTTTGGGTAGCTATGTACTATCAATAATTGCATTTCATTGTTTTGCCATGTTGCATGAAGTATAGAATGCACCATTACTAGGTAATCAAATTTTAGATACTTAGGAATCTTATCATCGCATTCAATTATAAGGTTTCCCTGCTAAAATCAGACTCTTATCCGGTATTCATTAATTCCCATTATTTTGTTCAGCTACTATCTATGCATATATACAATAAACCTCAAAAAATTGATAAAACTATGGTTAAAATCTAGATCCTTAGGAATGATTAGTAAACTCCCTTATTATTATAAATTTTGTGGAATAAATTAGGAAAATTTAATTGCAATCTTTTCACCTTTTGTCTACCCTGTGTCAGTCGTTTCTAGCAGTCTCGATATGTTCAATGCAAATTGGCTTTTTGATTTATTTCACTCTACTATTCGACTTTCCCGATGGATTAGTTCTACCTTGACGTGGTGGTCAAGTTTGGATTTCTCATTGACCCAAGGAGCTATGCTGATTGAAGCGTTTATTTCATGAGGTCGTACCACACCAGAATAGTTTGTTGGTTAGTGCAAATTGCTATCCTATGATGGGGGAACGGGGACAAGATCGTACCGCTGACTTGGCGGGATGTGGTAGCAATCAGCTGTTCCCCATAGATGACTACCAGTACAACACTGATGCTGAAATCTGTGTAAAAAAGAGAAGAGCGTTCAAAAAAGTTAACCTCGAAAATGGGACACTCCTCACTGACCTGGTCTGCTTCGGTGCTGGCCGCGTGAGTTTTCTGACTGCATGCAAATAATGAAGGCTAAACCACATACTTCCAGACACGCCGTGAGTGACAGGCTTCAAGTAGACGTTATGTGACCACACACCATTATTACTTGTCCAATTTTCTTCTCAAGTACTTCATGAAGTAACCTTCTACCGTGCAGACAGCTGAAAAGTGTCAAGTGCCTTCAAAGCTCTATTGGGACTCGAGTTCCTTCAGATCTTTATCAACCTCTAACATCTTTGCCTTCTAACCTTTCGTAACTTTTCTTGGTCAGTGTCCCTACGTCAATTTTGACGTCTTCCACTTTTGCAACCCCTGGTAACGACTGGGTTTGACGTAAGAACAAAGCTGGTCTCCTGAAATCACGATCTAAGCTACACAGAACTTCTAATGTCCGTATTCTGCGTCAAATTGGTCAACAAGCACCATTATGAGAAACTCTAACAACTCGGGCCATAGTTGTGGGGTGTGATTGGGGGACATCCATGAAGGCTCCAACTGCGGCTATCCACTTACCCTTAGCCGAACAATATAGGGAATCTGCGAATTTCAACCCATGAGTTAATGAAGATTCGATGTCTAGTTCTTGTGGCCTTGCAGGTGTATGTGTAGCTTTGAGTCCTAAGGCGGAAGGCTCACCGCTCAACTGAACCCCAGCTGACAGTTCCATGTGCACTGTTCGAGTGAACGGCAGAGTGAGAACTAAAAAGAATGCTGGAACTTACTGTTATCTCCTTGTAATCTTCACTTACGCATCCACTGACTGCAATTCGGATGGAGTAGGTGAGATCTACCGAAAACTGTCTAGCCTCCTACTGAACGTCAAACGTTCGCACGTGGTTTCCGTGGAAGGTGATTTCAATGCAGGGGTGAGTAGGCTAAGTCAGGCAGGAAGACACAGGTGTCACTTTCAGAATCCCAGCCGAACGAACAGATGACGGTGATCACCTGCTACAGCTGTGCTCAGACAGGCATCTATTTATGGCCGGTGTGAAATTCAGACATAGAAGAATGGAGACACAAATAAAGGTAGACCGTCTCGAAGAACTGCTTTGGTTCAAGTTGCTGCACTTCACACCATCAGAAAAAGAACAACCGGATAGAGAAATAGTAATATCATTTAAACATCGATGTTAAAGGATCTGCTCTAGCTTAGGTAGACGTCAAAATGTGAATAGGTCTGCTATGTCACCAAGAGTATCTAATCATTGACTTCTGTCACCTTGACAAACCTTGACACTGCTGTGCACTGTTCTAACCAACGGTCAGAGACTTCATGAACTGTTGCCATTGCTTAGTCTGGCCACCTAATTCACCATCGGCTAACATATCACATCGATATAGGAGGTGGCTTGGTACGCGTTTTACATATCCGCGCCACCTACGCCGATGAAGGTTCAGTACTTGATCGACTGACTTACCTTTCTTGTTTAGTATTCTTCGCCTAACCTCAATATCGGTCACATGGTGACTCCACCATGCGTGAGGAATGCTACAAAGACACTCGTGTTTGTAAACTTGTAGTCTCTTCCCATGTTCTGCTTTCGGTGACCATGTCTCTTAGTTGTATAGTAGGACAGAAAGACTACAGCGCAGCATACTCTTGCTTTAATATGTAGCTGGAATTCTACTCGACACAGTTCGACAAATGTCAAACAGGCGAGATGGCATCATCAACCAGTGGTTTCGAGACAATGTAGCTCCCCAAGTGAGTGGAGTAGTCGAGGAATTCCACCAGTTTGCTTTCTATTCCCGAACGGGGAGTGGCTGCAGACCAGTCCTGAAACCTTATTTTACACATATCAATGAAGCGTTTGTGCATTGTGGAATGGGTTGCTGTATTTAGAAAAATTAAAATTCGCCGATAATACAGCATTTTACACTTGAAATGTGCGAAATGCATGCCAAGCATGCTCGTATTTTTTTCAAGGCATTCAGGCAAGTTTTCATTTTGTCAGCGTCACCACCTAGCAGCACATTATCCTCATCTTAACAACGCTATACCGAATCTCACTATTTTGTCACTCCTCTTTCCTTTCTTCTCGTACTTTATATTTCTTTTGACTGCATTCACTTATCTTCATCCTTCACCTCACTACCGTTTTACTTGATTTGCTGATATGAGGTGTGGCAACTCGGACCGTTACGCAGTAATGCCTGGTCCTATGTTGATAATGATGATCATGACAATGTCTTCTGCGTCTTCCAAGTAAAGTAGATGTGCTTCTTAGAGTAAGACATTCACAAGAATTTCGGAGGTACCTATGATTGTTTTGGTTTGCACACCTGTAACAAAGCAAACTGGGGATGGTGACCACAGGCATCTCTAGTGGACATCAATTATTGTCATCAAATGAGCAGACAAGCCCCTACACGACCGCGTTAGTTCAAGTAGAGAACGTTGGTCAGTGTCACACACTTGGTTGGTAGTCTGTTCACAGTCAGACGCTACCACAACACTTCTCGGTCGACAAAGTTGAATGCTGTATTGAAGTCAACAAATGTCATAAATGGTGGTTCCGTGTTCTCTGCGCTTTAGTATGACTTCAAGGAATTGTTCCTGAGGATTTCATCAGGCCTGCTGATGAAGCGTTCGTGGTGAAATATCAAAGCTCAGAGAACACCTAACCACCACGAACCACATCCTGAGCTACTAATCTAACATACTTAAATTCCTGTTCAAGGTGTTCAGAAGACTGCATTTTGTCAGCGTCATCATCTAGTAGGACAGTGTTGTCTGTGTTTCAAACCCAACTAGATATCCTTCAGAAAATAGGTTAATCTCTATGAGGTCAGATGTCCATCTATGTGACTAACAGAGGTCGAGCAACTCCACTCTGTATAGTAGCAAGAAATTATAAGTATCAAAGCAACAGCTGATAGCCGTTTCACAAGAGATAGTTATCGTACCCCAGTGGCCTAGTGGATGACGCCACATGCCAAGTAATTCACAATGGGAAGCTCAGTGATGCTTTTGAATTGAAGACAGGAGTGAAACAAGGCTGCCCACTATCACCCATGATATTCCTGATTGTGGTGGACTGGATCATGCAACAAACAGTGAGGAGCGGGAAGAGGGGATACGCTGGATCGCGGAAAAGAACCTAGAAGACTTGGATTTCGACGATGACTTGTGTCTCATGTTGCACAAACTTGAAGATGCACAGGCGAAAACTAACAAGATGGCAGAAGAGGCAGCGAAGATGGGACTTCAAGTGAATATAGAGAAGACAGAGGTGATGAAGATACCCAACCAACAACAACAAAATCCAATCACCATCAAGGGGAGAAACTTAAAA